GAGAGAAAGCATGAAAGGAGTGGCTTTTCCTTGAAAGGGTTTTAGGTGAAAGAAAGTGATTTGGATCATTTAAAATAGAATAAACAGTCTGATAAAAAACAACATGGTGGGAAAGTACAGAGGTAGTTCCAAAGGGGCTGTAAAGGTACATGGAGAACTAATGTTAGAAAAACTGAAATCTAATAATAATTTTGATTTTTTTTCTGTAAATGTTGCAAAGAGTTTCTAGGTGTTCAGAAAAGTCGACATACTTCTTCCCTACCTGGCCTCACAATTACATGTTCACATTATATATGTTCTAACAATGGGATGTGAGAGGAGGTGCTGTGTACCACTATGGTGTCATGTCCATAGAACCTTCACCCTGCCATTTCGTGGGATGCTCTTTCTCTTTTGGCTCGCCAAATGAAGATCACCTCAAGTGAAAGCCTCAAGTGATAAAAGAATGCCCCATCAGCCTGAGTATCTAAATGAATTTGTGGAGCACAGCCATCCAGCCAACCCATCCACTCAGCACATTAGGCAAACAAGACAGAAACTCAAACAGTTTGAACACTGCAAATTAACAGAAGAGTGGATGACGTATGAACTGTCAGCATAGTCAACTATCATCATTCACTACCTAGAGAGACATTGCTGTGGTGTGGTGGTGCCAGAAGGCAGAGTCCATTGGAGCAGGATGAAAAAATTGTTTGCCATGAAAAGCAATGAGGACAGCCTACATTTATACATCTAAGCAAGTTGAGCATGTGTTGTGAGACTAAGGCATGTGAGTTCAGGCTCTGGGATCAAAAGAACTGCACTTGTTTCCTGGACCCAGCCTTATAAGACATGTGACCTTGCAAAGAAATGCTTGATACAAATTGTGTCATTTAATTCTCATAGGGATCCTATGAGGTAGATATTCTTATTTATTCTATTTTAGAGACAAGAAGACTAAGGCTTGAAGAACCCCTGCATATTGTCTAAACTGAAACATGGTAAATGGTAAAACTGCAATTTAAATCCATGTCTATCTGACCCAAAAGCATGGAGTATGTGCTTGGTTAGGAATGAAGTTGGTCAGTTACTTGGAACAACTAACAGCCACTTTCAAGGTCAAGCATGCACTAAAAGCTCAGAAGACCAAATTATTCTGAAATTGCATTGGGCTGTGCTATCTGGGAACTCTGACCAGAAGGAATGATAGTCAGGGGCCTCGAGCACAAAGCACCATTGGCACTTTGATCACTGGGCCCATCACTGCACCACATCACATGAGGTGAAACTAATGTCCCTTGCCACAAAGAAATCCAGAAATAGCTTTGAGACCAAAAGAACGAGTCATTCCTAACTCACATCTCTGCACTAGAAAACAACTGAAAATAAGTTACTGTTGCGTTTTATTGGATTTTGCTAATTTCTTGCTTCGACGTATAAACTGAAAGTCTCTCTGAAGCCCTAATACGCTGTAACTAGATGGTCTTAATGGACTCTGGTTGGATAATTCAAGTAGCCCACTTTTTCTGTGGCTTTCACTGCCCTTGCACTGTGTGTGTAGTGAAGACCAGTACTTGAAGACAGTGTGTCTTCAAGTACCGTTGGCTGGCACCAGCATCAGACTTATATGGAATGCTTGTTTAACATGCAGATGCCTGAGCCCCACTAAACCCTGATGAATGAGAATCTGCATTTTTAATAAGTATTTCAACCAATCTTCACACTAACATTAAAAAACAACCTATCTATATCATCCCTTATTTTAAATAAGCATGCACTGTTTCTGTACATCAATAATCAACAAACTAAGAAGTATTATTTATCTGTTGGGAAATATTCTATTGCCTCAACTTTAGGGAGGGATGATTCTTACACATTTATGCCCCATCCCTTTTGTACTATTCCGTTCTCACACTGCTAATAAAGACATACCTGAAACTGAATAATTGATAAAGGAAAGAGGTTTAATTGACTCACAGTTCAGCATGACTTTAGAAGCCTCAGGAAACTTATAATCGTGGTGAAAGGAGAAGCAAACATCCTTCTTCACGCGGTGGCAGCATGGAGAAGTGCAAAAGGGGAAAAGCCCCTTATAAAACCATCAGATCTCATGAAAACTCACTATCAAGAGAACAGCATGGAGGTAACTGCCAGCATGACTTAATTACCTCCAACTGGATCCCCATACCATGACATGTGGGGCTATGAGAACTACAGTTCAAGATGACATTTGGGTAGGGACTCAGCCAAACCATTTCACCTTCCATAGAGGATTTAAACCTTTCAACATTATGAACCATGGTTAACCGTGGCAGATAAGAGAATCATACAAGTTATTGGTTTAAATGGTAAGAAATTTCAGTATTTCACAGCATAGTAACCATGTTTGAAAGAAGATGTGACTTCTACAAAATGGCTTCCATTTAGGAACAGCCTTTTCATTGTGAAGTATCTATACCTGCCCGTACTAAATCCACGGGATATAAAGAGGGAAATAAGAATAAGATATAATCTCTGTCCTAAGGAGGCCGTAGACTTTTTTTTAATATTTTCTTATTTTTTTTAATCAGAAGAAGGGGATAGCATTAGGGAAAAGATATGTAAATAATATCAGATAAGCCCACTTTTAGAGATGCTATAGAGACTCTGGAAGCTAAGTGGTAGAAAACCTCAAATTATTAATATTAGGGAAGGTCTCATAAAGGAGGTTACCCCTGAGCAGATGCTGGCAGAAAGGTAGTGTGCTCTTCCCTAAGGCATCAAATAGAGGAAAGGAATTGCAGGCTGGGACACCCATGCGGCAAGACAGAGCAGCATGTTGTGGGGACACACTAGTCCCTACATTTCATTTGAGGGCTCCCACCACCCAGCCTTCTTCATAAAATGTAGGTGGTCTGGCTAAATAGTCTTACAGATCCCAGACTTGCACCATTTACATGTGAATAGGAATACTTTGCCTTCAAACAGCAAAAAATTAGAATTAACCTAAATAATTTTATTTGAAATCAATTAGCATTTTCATTTACTTTGCCTGATAAAGAAAAAGCCTACATTTTCTTTACAAAAAGACATTTCAAGACATCCTTTACAAATTACTAAAAGAAAAAATAACACAATATTGTAATTAGGTTAACTCTATTTCCTCAGTTCTCCCTCTGGCCACCTCCTTCCCAAATAGATCACTTTGGAAAAACTAGCAGTTATTCAAAACAAAATATGTTGGTATATCTTGCAGCCAAATTAATTGACAGGGCACAATAATATGAGCCAACCTTGAACTGATAAATTTGTCCTGTAAAAAATGAAGCTTGAACAGCTCTGTTGATCATTTGAAATGTTAATGGTAATATGCTTCTTTATTATTGAGATATTTATGACTAATGGTGTGATGTTATTTATATTCAAACATTCATTAATTTTAGCTGTTTTTCATCAGGAAAAATAATTCAACACAAACGTCAATATTTCTTAAGCACAACATATGAAGCAACACCAGAGTGCCACCAATCACAGAAGGCCCCTTCCTCAGACTCAATTCTGCCAAACCAAGCTCTCCAAAGACTTCCTCTGGGTAACTTCTGGGTTGCATCCAGATTCTTAAAGACTTAGACAGAACTCTTCTAATTCCTCAAGTTATCTTGGTGTCAGAACATGATTAGTCCTATTGTGGTTATCATTAGCAATATATAAAGGCCACATTTATGCCCCATGCAAAGGAGGTCATATAACAAAAGTGATTTTTTCCCTTGGGTTCATGGGTGACTCAAGACTATTGTAATGTTCACATTTTATAACAGGAAATAGAAAGTTAATTGATAGCTATTTAGAGCCATCAAAATCCTTTTTTAATAAACCTAGTAAGGCAATAAAGAATTACTTTGTGTAAGATTAGAAAGACCATAGAAAATAATTTATTAGGACTGATTTCCATAAGGGTTGCTGAGCCAACAGACGACTGGCGCTAGTTGTTGACTTAAATTCAGTCAATGTAACTCCAAGTCAAAATGTTTTCTATGGTTTGAGATTGGCTTTAGCCTTTTACCTCCAAGAATGGAAGGGCATGAAAGTTCCACAGGATATCTGCTCTATTTTTTCCTTTTTTTTTTTTTAAATCTTAATGTGTGAAGTCAGGGGTTTTATTTTTCTCTTTTCTACATAATCCTGCCTTTATCCATGTTTATGGATGTGGAAAGAGCTACATTTATAACCATGCTTACTATAAGCTCATTGACTTGTTGATTCAAAGTAAGGTTAAAGAACACAGTTTTTGTTACCAGTTACTTAAGCAGTAAGTAATATACAAATACTAATTATAAACTATTGCCAAGTTAATATGTGATTGCAAATGACATAATCAGACCTCAGTTGTCTTGGTATGTTTAAAAAGAAGAGATCTCACTCTGTGATGATCAATTAATCAATGAACTGTCCGGTGTTTTACAGTCATGAGTATCTAACTAACCTGGATAAAATATACACATTTGCAGAATCATGGTGACCTAAAAATGCGGTCACCAACTGCCTGCCAAAAAAGATGAACATCATTCGATTAACAATAACAATAAATTGCTTAAATGAAGATGCTTGAAACTGCAAGAAGAAAGAGGCAAGGAGGCATTAGCCGAATGCCCTGTGGAAGACAATTCAGGATTAGGTGTTCCTTATGGCTTTTATGAGAGATCATTGAGCTCAGCTCTGGGACATCTGGAACTGGATGGTTGACTTATTCCTGAATTTAAGCCAAAAGTATGTGAAGAAACAACCTACTTCTAGTTCACAAGAAAACCTCTGAAATTCAGGAAAAAACAAGAAGAAAAAACCAAAACAAACAAACAAAACCAGAGAGTGAGGACCAATGATGCCTGGAGTTCCAAATTTGGCATCTGGAGAAAGGTTGGAATAGATTGTGAACTCTTAGTGAAAGAGACCATTCTGATCAACCACTAACTACTATTGTATTGTAAACCACTCCTTAAAACAATTATTAACATCTCTCATATTTCATAAATTGATGGGCTCACTTGAGAAGTTCTTGCTTGGGAACTCTTGTAAAATTGCAGTCAAACGTTGGCTGGGACTATGGTCATCTCAAATCTTGACTGGACTTGATGTTTCTCCAGTCCAGCCATGGCTGGTAGCTGATGCTGGCTGTCAGCTGGGAGCTCAGCTGGAGCTTTCCACTGAGGCACCCTATACGTGACCCCTTCGTGTAGCTTAGGTTTTATATTGTGAGCTAGCTGGAATTTTAGAGAGAGCATTCTAAAAAGGAGCTTCCAAAAAGATCCAGTGAAAAGTGTAAGAAATCCTATGACCTAGCATCTGAAAATCAGGCCATCACTTCCGTCACACTATATTGGTCAAGCAAGTCACTAAATCCAGCATAGATTCCAAGAGAGGGAAATGGGGCTCTATCCCTTGACATTAGGAGCAACACGTGTACATAGAAAGGAAAGGGATTGATAGTAGTCATCTTTGGAGAGTCACACAGAGGTATTGTTTCTGTCTTGAACACATGAAACATAGTCTGTAGATCCTTCATGGTGGATGTGGATTCTATGCACATGATGTGGCCACAAATATTAGAACAAAGCAAAGGGAGTATTCACATATGATCGTACTGACCCTCCAATGAAAACTAACCAATGTTTCCATTATACTGAGAATAAAGTTCAAATTTTTTACCATGGTCTGCAAAGCCCTTTATAGTTTGTTCCATTCCAACTTCTCTGACTTCTTGTCCTCCCACTCTTTCCCTTGCTTACTTTGCTCTAGTCAGGCTACCTTTCTTGCTTTGCTTGCAACAATCCAAGCTCATTGTATTGTCAATTATGCTGTCTCTTTTTGGAAAACTCTGATCCCAGATCTTCCAACATCTAATGTCTTCACTTTATTAAAGTTTCTGTGCACAAAAAAAAATATCTTCAGAAAGGGCATCCCTTAAGCATCCTCTTCAGTGATCACCTGCCTTATGCCACTTACTTGTCATCATGTCTTCATGATCTGAGACTCCCTTGTCATCTGTTTCTTTAGTTTTAGTGTCAACTCCCCTTACCAGACCATAAGCCCCACTAGAGCAGGGGTCATAGTTGTCTTACTCACTTCCATTCTTCCAGGACCAGAAACAGTATTGGTACATAGTGATAACCAGTGATTCCATATTATTGAATAGATGACCATGCCTGAGTTTTATTTTCAGTTGCTTATCCTTAGAAATGTCCTAAATATCCTTTAAAAATTATGTGAGTCTTATGTATAATTCATTCAGCATTCACTTCTACCTATGGTTGCCCAATAACTTTTTAAATTATTTTTTTCTATTTATTTTCTGCATCCCATATTTTTTTCCCTGCTTATAATTTGGTATTTGTTACCTTAAAATCTACATTATGATCTCACTGGACTACTACGTTTTCTTTGGAAACTTGGATTCTGTCTCCACTTGACACCTTTCTGGAATGCTGTTTTCTCCTTTATTCTTCTGAGTACCTTTTATCCCTGAACGCTTGTTACCCTAACAGCCATCTTTACTTTCTATTTCCCAATCCTTTTCAGATTCACTTTTTGTTGTTGTAAACTATGGTGCAGTGAGGTAAGTGCAGCTCTTCTCCTCCAGCTTTGAGTTCTTTGGCAGCATGGGAATCATCTTATTTGTTTCTGGAGTTCTTGTACCAAATCTAGTGTTTGGCACATAGCATGTACTCCATAAGTACTAGAACTGGATGAATTAAGTTGAAACAAAGGAAAGGAGAGAAAGAACAGGGAATTGGACAGTGGTAGATACTGTCAAGAGACTAAGAACACACTGGCCTCCTCTTCCTTTTATACACACTAATTTATTTTTACTGTGGCCCAGTTATATGTGCTTTGTTAGAAATGTCACCATTGTTCAATATGTTAAGAAAATAAATTAAAACTTCAGAGTTATTTAGAAGGCAGGCATGAAATCAGGCATTTTCTACCCTCCTTTTTTGTCATACTCAATATACCTCCTTCTGTTCATTTGCATTTTCTTGCTCGGTCTATTGGGTGCAGGTGCAGAAAGTAGGCATCAGGGCATTCTATAGAATTCTATGTTATCTCTGATAAAAGAGGCTTTCCAGCTATGTTTTTTTTATAATTGTAAATTTCCCTCCTTTTTATATCTACTTAGGTGCATCTACATTTATGAAATTATATCTTTTGTGTGTAGTTTTGGGAGTGTATTTCACAGGCATACAGAAACTAGATGTGATATCTATCTCAATACATGAAACTAAGTTATTGGCAATAATTTTTTTTTTTTTACTTTAAAGGGAGCATATTGATACCATGTTGCAAGAAATTAAATATATAAATAAAATGCTTTTCAAAACATTGCTAATGTGGTGCTTCCCGCCCCCTACTTTTTAAAAAACAGTGAAAATAAAAGCAGTCTTTCAGCAAGCTAATTAAGCCTTATTTTGTTCATTGCACACAGTGTGCATTTAGAGTTGCACTTAAACAATCCAGGTAAGCACAGTCATTTAACCCTCTTTAACTGTCCTGATGTGCAGCCCCTTTGAAATGTCCCATAATCAAAGTTTTCCAGGTAGGAAAGACAGCACAAATAAAAAATAATAGGCTTAGCTCTGGTACAATGCTTGCAACCCTTGCAAAACTTATCAGCTATTTCACAATGTGAATTGATCAACAATTGTATGAGAAGTTTTTTCTGCAGTCTGAAAATTTTGGGTCAGTTGATGGTGGGGGATTGTGATAATTTAAGTTAATGGAAAGAAAAACAGAACTAATTAATAGTAGAAATTACAACTTTGTGGTAGCTTGGAAAACCAGGAATCGTGCTTTCTGGTCCAAGATTTATGAAGTGAAAGTGGCTACTTAAGAAATACACTTCAGCTCTTTGCATGTATATTTCTTTATTGAAAGGATAGAACTAGTGTCAATTTTTTTAATACTACAGTGGAAGATGTTTTAATGTGTACTATAGACTATAGACTAAATCTTCCACTAATCCTTTCACTTTCAGAAAGAGCACAGATACTCCCCCTCCAAGTGCCCACCACTTTCATCAGTGCATGTCTATTAGAGGCCAGGACAGATGTACCACATTTAACTGCTTCTCAGCTGTATGGCTTACTCTGTAATCTAATGCCAGCTCCCATAAAATTCAAGCTGTAGCAAGTAACCTTGCAAAATAGGTCATTCACACAGTTTTGTCTCTTTGAGTTTATGAACAACAACAGAAAAGTCAGTAGAACATATCGAGGTTTGGTATAGACTATCAAATCACTGTTTTTGGATAATGGTAGGATATTGGTCATCATTTGTGAAAGCTAGAAAAAAAGAGCTTCTAACAGATTTTTCGTGTTTTAATTTTATATACACCTTTACCAGTGAGAAATATTTTCTTATTTCCTAAACTCTCAAACATTTCATTTATGTTTCAATTTTGTTGTTTATCATATCTTGCCTCATATTTTAAGTATTCATATGTCTTTCCTTATTTTCCCTACTCGATTGAAAGCTCCCAGAGGGCAAGGTCTTCGTCTAATTCAGCTTTTTATTTATCCAGGAAATGAGAGGATGCAATGAGAGGACTCCACATTGAATAAATATATAAATAGATAACTGAGAGACTACATTACATGAATTTGTTTTTGAATGTGGTCAACATATAATCAGCTATGATCTAAAGTTACATGGAGAAGATAATCTAATTTCAGTCACCTGAATTTGTGACCAGAGGTCAACCTAAAATATACAAGAAATTAGAATGTGGGCATTTAGTATTTTAACATGCTTATTCAAAAAGAACTCAGAAACTAAGTTTTTAAATTTATTAGCCTAATATGCAATTGAGTCAGCATTTTAGATGAAATAATTAGTATGCTATTTGTGTGGCACTGCACATGAATGCACAACTCCCTCCAAAATAAGTTAGATAATATGTCCTGACTAAAATGGAAGAGATGCCAGGTATTACCAGTTGTCATGCTACATTGAGAAGAATTTTCAGACCAAATCTGTGCTTGGCAACAAAGAATAGTAAAATGTTGATGAGTAGTAGAGGCCTGCCTTTGAAATATCCTATTAGATTCAGATCCTTTATTTTGAAAAGTATGAGATGGAGACAACAGAGGCTGGGTCAGCTTTCTAAAGTCACATAGCGGTATCCAGTTGTTATCAAGGTTCTAATCAAAAGCTCAGTTCTCAAGACACTGACAGGGCCCTAGAGGGGAGGGCGTAATGAAAATGATCCTGCCAAAATCAGCAAAAATTCTCATCCAACAGAGAAGTAACCAAACCTCCCAGCTTGACCCCTCAACTTGCCCCAAGTTTCTATCTCTGTCAATGACCATGGTTGCCAAAGCTACAGGGGATGGAAGGTGAAAAAACTATTGGCGAGGAAAAGCAGGATCCACCCTAACAAGCCCAAGGTTCCAAATACCAATGAAGACTGCATTCAAAGGCACAAGAGTCAATAGAAGAGATGTCAGTGGCACCTCCAGATACCAGTGTGTCTCCACGGGGCATTCTTCTTGGTGCTGCTATAGCACAGACCTAATTCCCAAATTCAATATATTTTGCTGCTGTAGCCTAACATCTATTCATAGGCCTTGCTGCTCAGAAACAAAACAAAACAAAACTTCTTTATATGTTCTATATGGAAAATTTCACACATACTGAAAGTATGATAAAATCTCTTATACCCATCTCCAGTAAGACTTTTCTTAATGCTTGTATTCATCATGCCTGTGTCTCTCCAGCCCATTTTATTATTTTGTCATGTGTGACTAATCCCCCAGCCTTAGCTTAGACTAGCAAGCAACTCAGTTTCTGATTAGATTCAGCCACTTTTAAAAAAATAATAATAAAATGGAAACTACAGGAACAAAGCTTTCCAAAGTCATGTAGCAGCAGCCAGTTGTTATCAAGTTTCCACTCACGAGCTCAGTACTCAAGAACCTAGAAGGGTTCTGGTGGGGAAGAGTCCAATGAAAAAGATCCTGCTGAAATAATACCTTTGTCTGATTTATCACAACCTTCCCAATACTTGTATCTTGCCTCAACTCAACCCCAACCCAACAGGCTATCACTTCTAAATTTGTCCATTCACTCATTTTCCTCTTTCATTCATCAGACTTTTGTTTAGCACTTACTAGGTACTCAGGTACTGTACTTATTGTTAGAGATAACAGTAAATGATAGCTGTCAGCTGCCATCCTGATGGAGATAATGTATGATCTAATAGAGGTATGCCCTAAGTACTGCAGGTCTTTGGAAGGAGACAATGGGTCTTTTCCATTTTGGCTGCGAGTGGGAAATAGTTGCAAAGGCAGAACTAAATCCTCAATTCCAAGGTATTGCATTCCTATAACATC